ACAGCTCCGTGTAGACAAACCCTTCGATACAAGTAACCATTTCCAGTGTTTATGGGATAACACCGATTTCATTTGTCGTGTATCGGGAGGGGGTTAATCAGTGTCCTACCTAGGACGCACACAGTTGAGCAGTACTGATCCCATCCAGGAGAGGGCAGTGGTACACACACACACACACACACACACACACACACACACACCCCCCTTGGTCTGCCCCAATAGCACAGAACCCAAAGGGCCTCTTTTAAAATGGGCCTGTCACACTGGAGTATCTGGGAGGCGGGGGAAGCATTTCTCTAGGGGCGAACTGACCTGCTCAGTAAAGTCTCTTTATTGTGACTGAGAATAATTAGTGTATTAATGGGAACGTTGGGCCTCCTGCCCAAGCCTGCTGGGAACCCACCCTCCCATCCTAATGTGATGTTGTGGCTGCGGCGGGGGCTGCGCTCGGACTGTGCTGCTGGAGGAGGTGGATGGGTAGGGAAGGAGGGCGCGTGCAGACACACTTTGGCGTACTCCGGCAGCAAGTGTGAAAAATCAGGACAGGGGGTGGAGGGTAATAGGCGCCTAGAGAAGAAAAAGCCCCAAATATCGGGACTGTCCCTATCTGGTCACCGTATTTCCAGGATCAGAGCTAGCCCAGGTGCAGCCCTCCAGCCAACAGCAACACAGTTATGCAAAGCAGCCCACAGCTGCCCCCGCTTTTCCTAGGAGATTACAGGCCTCAGCATGCAATGCTCCAGCTGCATTTCAAGAGCCAAGCCACACTGCATGCTGGGACATGTAGTCTTTGGTTGGTGAACCCCGTGGGGCAGGGATTGTGCCTTCTCTGCTTGGGAAGCTCCCAGCGTGCTGGCTCAGCTCCGCGTGGAAGACGTGGGAGGCCACAATCCGCTCCATGTTAAGCAGGGCCTTCTGGGTGCTGTCCCAGAACACCCAGCCTCCCCCTCATCTCACCTCCTTCAGCTCCAGTTCCGGCAGGGCGGCTCTCTCGATGTCGCTCAGTTTCTTCAGGATGCGCCTGACGCTCTGGTCCTGGAAGTCAGAGTAGTCGAACTGCCGGGCCTGCATGCCGTGCTTCAGGGTGTGGGCTGACATCTCCAGGTTCTTCTCCAGCTGCAGGACCAAGGGGGGACAGGAAAGGAATCACCTGATTGGGGGTGATCAGACGCAGCCCCCGCTAAGAATACTGGCGCGTGTGATGGGCAGCTATGGCATGCTCTCACTGCGGGCTGGCCAGAGACCTAGGTCTAATCTACAAATGAGGCCCAACTCATTTAGGGGTGCTGGGAGAAAGGCACCTCCCAGCGTATGAATGCTACTCTCTGGCTACCAGTATGTGGATGCCTCCCGCCAGGCAGCAGCAGGAGCTGCCCTGCTTTTCTGGGCTTGTCTGCAATGGACTTTGGGTACAACCTGCCTGACTTTGCTGTCAGCGTCACACTGTGTGGCCTGCAGCCCGGTCTCATACCATGATCTGCTTGTTGTGGTCCGTGATGTTGGTGTTGTACGTCCAGGACGCCTCGCTGTAGGCGTTCCACACCACTTCAGCCGTGCTGTTGTAGTCCGCCAAGAAATCTTTGGCTTGTGCTTCATCCGCTATTTTATCTAGAAGAGGGAAAAACCCAATGGATAAAGCCGCCAAATGAGCTCTTCCCCTTGTGTGAGCAGAACCTCCTTGGAGAATCCATGACTGAGCCCTCGCCAGTGCCACAGGCTCTCCATGCACCTGAGTGGGCTCCACTTCCTGCCCCGGTGCCCCCTTAGAGGGACATGACAGGAGAAGCCAACAGATGAGTGGCAGGTGGACGCTAGTGGAGCATCTGCCTTTGTTCATCTGGACAGGAGTAGCCCGGCATTCTAGACTGTACTAGTCAGCCAATCAGAACGCAGCACAGAATGCTACCTCATGGATTATCTGTTACATCAGGAGAGCAGGAATTACTATAACGAAGGAGACCATTGGTCCATCTAGTTGTGGATCAGGTGTCCAGCCAATGACGCGTGTTTCAAAGGAAGGTGCAGTGCCCCACGAAGCACATGATTGTGTGATGCTCTCCGGAGCCCAGCTGGAGAACGGTGCTATTTCTGACGAGCCCATTTCACCGCGCTCTAGCAGAGACACCCTCCACCTTCCACGTGTATTCTGAGCAATGCCACGCTGTGTCCATCTGGGGACACCTCCCAACACCCCTGGACCCAGCTCTGGGGCAAAGGGACAGCGCTGAGGCTTTACCGATGCCGTCAGGGTAGCCCTCAGGGACAGGCGGGCGCCACTCGAAGTCCGGCCAGCCCAGTGTTTCATTCCTTTCGTTGTTCTGTTTCTGAAGCCACGTTGTCACAGGGCTGAAGTACTCCAGTAGGGCCCCAGCGTCCATCTTCTCCACACCAGTCAGATTGAAGAGGATCTCTTGCCACGGCTTGGAAGAGCCAGCTTTCAACACCTCACTGCAGAGAACCGGGAAAGCAAATGCCAGCAAGAGACAATGAGATGGACAGCCCCGAGCACAGCATGGGTGGTTTTGCACATCAAGATACGGGTGTGATACTGGCAGAGCAGGTGCCAGCTCATGCCAAAATCCCCATGGCTCCATTGAACGCTGACGCACACATAGCTGGAATCAGTCTGGCTCCCCTGTGTGTTAGTATTATTAAAACAGGTATTAGAATGATAAAAATGTGTCTAGACTTTATTGAATGCTTGTGAGTTGCTGCATGCATTAATCTCACTGATAGCATCTGTACCCCATAGTGTAATATTTGAGCAGTTGTATTGTGACCCTCTGTGACTCTCCAGACAGGAGAGAGACATTAATTACTGTTAAGTGCTGATCATCAACAGAATGTGTTATGTCCTCCCCAACAGGAAAGGTCCATCGACACCAGACAGACTATTGTGGGACGTTAAAGAGCAGAGCCGTCCTTACCAATATGCAAACTACGCAGCTGCGCAGGGCACCAGGAAATTTGGGGCACCAAATTGCCCCAAATTTCCTGGTGCCCTATGCAGCTGCGTGCTGCTCCAGCGGCCAGCCCGGCCGGCCAGGAAACCTGTCCCCGCTGCTGCTCCGCCCCCACCCTGCCTCTTCCCACCCCTGCTCCGCCCCAGCCCCGCCCCCACTCCACCCCTTCCCCTGAACTATGTGCCGGGGGACTGCAGAAGGGGTCAGGAGTGCCCCGCACTCATCGGGTGGCGGGAAGTGGAGCAACCTGGCCCCAGCCCGCTCCGCTCTGCCGGCTCCCAGCTCCGCCGCCAGTGAGTGTTGGGGGGTGGTTCCCCCCGTGACCCCAAGTCCCAAGGCTGGGAGCCAGGGGAGCAGAGCGGAGTGGGCTGGGGCTGGGTCACTCCACTTCCTGCCGCCCGGTGAGTGCGGGGGCGTGCCCACCCTGCAATCACCGGTCGGCAGGAAGTGGAGCAACCCGGCCCCAACCCGCTCCACCGGCTCGTGCTGGGGGGCGGTTTCCCCCCTGCCCCCCAAGCCTGCTCCTGCCCCCCACAGACCTTGGGTGCAGCCCCCCCCGCGCGGAGGCCTGGGAATGCCCCCCCTCCTCCCGCAGAGGCCTGGGGCCAGTCCCCACCACGCGGGGGCTGCATGGGACACCACAATGTCTAGGGATGGCCCTGTTAAAGAGGATAAAAGACTTTGTTGTTCTGCCCTCCTTCCCATGAAGAGGAGTCATGTAAGTGGATTCCTCTGATCAGCTGAGTTTGCAGCTCAGAGCACATGGCAGGAAGGAATAAAAACCCCAAACAAAAGGAACCTGGTATCTCTATGCTGCTTGGATGCTGGGGGGGGCAGGGTTTTCTAGATATAAGCAAGAGCTCCCCAGCCGCTTATCCTGGGCTAGCCCTAAAGGACATATACAACTTGCTGATTATAGAACTTCTATTCCCTTTTGAAACTTGATTGTAATTGATTTGTGTATATATATTGACCTGCTTTAACCTTGGAAATAACTCTCTAATTTCCTTTTCCAACGTAATCAATCTTTACATAGTTTATGATAACATTGGCTACAAGTGTTGGCTTTGGTGTGACCTGGGGTCAGTGACTGGTCCGTTGAGACTGGGACTAACCTGAATATTGCTGTGATTCTTGGCATAAGGGACCATCTGTCACAAAAGTATCTTCACCTGGGTGGTGAGGTAGATGGGGGTATCCAAGGGGACTCCATGCATAGGCTGTTATAGGGCCTGAGGAGTTCACACTTGGTAACTGTTTGATGAGCTTTAAGTGTAGAACTCACAGTCAGTTTGGGGTTTGTGCCCTGCTTCCTAACAGTCTGCCCCGAGTCACTGCAGCCAGCGTTATGGGCAATCGATTCCCAGGCTTCAGGAGATCAACTGGCCACTCCGGGCTCAGGGGAGCATCGCTTCTCACCATGTGCTTAGGTCACTTGGGGAAATGACACCCAGGCCCCTAAATCACTTAGGTGTCTTTAAAAATTTGACAGCTGGACTTTCTGGTTTTGGGCTTCGCTCTGGCCTGGAGTTGCACCGACTTACACTAGTGCTGGATTTGCAGAAAGCAGAGTCTTTACACACATCGCCCCACCCAGCCCTGTATGAAGAACCTGTCCTTAGCTGGGACTTGAACAGGGATTCAGGCGTTTAAAACAGCCACTTGAGCTAAAGGATAATCTTCAGCTAGCCCTAGTGGAGAGACTGACCGCCTCCTGGACTCCGGCCTGTAGGGAGCAAGGCCATCACATATCCCCCAGATGAACGGATGCACTGATCCCATACGAACAGCCAGACTGGCTCAGACCAACAGTCCCTCTAGCCCAATCTCATGTCTTCTGACAGTGGCCAATGCCCGATGCTTCAGAGGGAACCAATGAGAGAGAGGCTAGTGGGGAATGAAGACACACACACACACACACCCCTGCCTTTTGTGACCCCTCGTGGTCCTTTCTAACCGCCCTGCTAGGGCTGGGGCTCCGAGCTGAGCAGCTCACCCTCTTCTTTCCCAAATCCACCCTTGGCTCTCACCTGAGTTTCGCTCCCGCCTCTTTGGACATGTAGATGTCACAGGTGTGCAGGGGGCCAGTGTGATTGGCAGCTTGGCACAGGGCCTTGTGAAACTGGAACTGCAGGATAAAACTCACAAAGTACCTGCGAAGAAAGCAAGTGCCATAAGAACATGAGAACGGCCCGACTGGGTCAGACCAAAGGTCCATCTAGCCCAGTATCCTGTCCTCTGACAGTGGCCAGTGCCAGGTGCCCCAGAGGGACTGAACAGAACAGGTCATCATCAAGTGATCCATCCCCTGTTGCTCATTCCCAGATTCTGGCAAACAGAGGCTAGGGACACCATCCCTGCCCATCCTGGCTAATAGCCATTGATGGACCTATCCTCCAGGAACTTATTTAGTTCTTTTTTGAACCCTGTTATAGTCGTGGCCTTCACAACATCCTCTGGCAAGGAGTTCCACCGGTTGACTGCGTTGTGTGAAGAAATACTTCCTTTTGTTTGTTTTAAACCTGCTGCCCATTAATTTCATTTGGCGCCACAGCAGAGTCCTCAGGGCTGAGCAATGGGAACAGGGGAGAGACCAGCTGATCTCCGCTGCGGGGAGGAGGTCCCCCGCCCCGGTACCCATCCATCTATCCACATATACACCCACCCATCCATCCACCCACCCTCCTGCCATTTACATTCTTCACATCTTTGGAATCAGTCTAGGCCCTGAGCAATAAAGTGCCCAAATGGTGACGGGTGTGATTAGGCTGTTTCAGAGTCCGACCAGGGGTTTTTGTGCTGACAAAGGGGAGGAGATGAGAGAGCGCACTGGGGTCAGACAGAAGCACTGTGTACATTTCACCGGCTCTGCCCTGTACTCTGGTCTCCTGACGCTGCAGAGCTGGGCTCCCCATACTGTACTGTGCTGTAGCCCAATCCTGACCCACAGCACCCCGTCATTGCAGACCTGGGCTCCACATACTGTGCTGTACCCCAATCCTGACCCACAGCACCCCATCATTGCAGACCTGGGCTCCCCACACAGCTCTGCCGATGGTGATTCTGTGTTGTGCCATTACAAACACTGTGAGAATCAGGGGCGATAGCATCGAATACCTTTAGGTTACCCAGGCTCTATAGGAGAGTCTCCAGGAGCTGTCACTAATTTTAAGGCTCACTGGGGCCCAGCCACATACCAACTTAGCTAGTACACGGCATAGTTCACCCCTTATTATTCCAGTGCAGGGCCCCACGCAGCTTTGCCGGCGGGCCTTTCCCCTGGCCTGCAGGACTCCCCGCCGGAGAGACAGATCGGTACGGCCGAGAGCTCTGCGGGTGCCCCTCGCCGCGGATCTGGAGGACCCTGCCTGATGTGGACAGCAAGCTGCAGCCACTTCCTGTGGCTTTTGTGATACAGATAAACGTGCCCCAAAGGACTAGAGTGGAGGCTTGTCAAATTCAGGCCGGTGGATTGGCCCAGCGCACCCCCCCCGCGCGAGAAGCAAGTCGCATGCAGCTCCAGTACCTGATGTAGGGGGTGTTGCCGGGGATGTGATACTTTGCACCAGGGTCGAAGTTGCTTTCGTTCCTTGAAATGGGAGGACAGATGCCCTGATATTTAGTTCTGTAAAACAAAGGGGTGGAGGGGGGGGACAAAATGAACAGCATTAGAAGGGGCCTGAAGGAATCGGACAGATGAGCCACCCCTCGGTGTGTGAGGAGTAAACAGGAAACAAGAAGAAGGAAGAGGGGAAGCTATAGTCATGAACAACCCTGAACGTGTCTGGGGCTTAATTTCAGATATTTCTATCAACCCACCCCCCAAACATACCCACCCATCTAT